CTCCGCAATTCCTGCAGATTATGCAAGTCAACGTAGGAAAAGGGGGCCCAGCACACGAGACGGCCCTCAATCTAGCGTTTGAAAGAAAGACTGACATCCTTCTCATACAGGAACCCTGGATTCACAGGAACTTAAGCCAACGCATCTCCAAAAAGCATCCAGCATTCAACTGCTTTGCCCCAATTGAAAAGTGGGACAGGAAGCCACGGGTCCTCACCTATGTGCGTAAACACCCACAAATCCATGCTCATGCAGTCCCAGGCCCCTGGGCAGAAAACCGGGACATCCACATGCTGCACATACAGGCCTGGGGTCTACAGCTTCAGACAGTCAACATATACAATGCACCCCCAGGCGCAGAGGATCCTGGACAAGGTGTGGGCTGTCTTCTCTCCTGGTCTGTCCCAGCACTCCCGTTGCTCCTTGCTGGCGACCTCAATATCAAGCACCCCGTGTGGCAACCAGGAGTGCCTCCAAGCATGTGGGCGGAACCATTCCTGCAATGGACCATGAATTTCAACTTTACTCTCACCATGGACCCAGACACTCCCACACGTGGGCATAACATGATAGACCTGGCCTGGGCCACCCCGGAATTAGTTATCAAAGGAGTGGACACACAGGTGGACAGATCCCTTTACACTTCCTCTGACCACCAGACTCTTCTCACCAAAATCAGCCTTCCACAGGGCGCAAGGCCTGACAGGCCAACCCATTTTTTCCGTCTTGACACCATGAATGAGAAGGTCTTTAACCAGACGCTGGAGGCCTATAAGCCAAAACTAGACAAACTATGTGATTTCCCAGAGTACCCCAATACAGATCAGCTGGATGCCCTGGCTAAAGGTATCACAGATGCACTAATAGCTTCCCTGGAAAGTTCCACCAAGAAGAGCACCGGGCAAGGCACAGGTCAGCCATGGTGGAATGAGGACTGCCAGAAAGCAGTGACAACACTACATCGTGCACAGCACCTAGGCTCTAGTTTTTTACGAGAAGCAAAAAGCAACGTAGCCAGGACCACCAGGAAAGCCAAGAGAGAATACTGGCGAGGCAAGATAGCAGAGGCCTCAGTGGGGAAAGATATCTTTAAGATGATCAAATGGGCCCATTCAACTGGCTCCTTTCATTCCCCCCCTCTTGTAGATGAAGAGACTGGGCGAACGCGAACAACCCCTAGAGAGAAAAGAGACCTTCTGCAACGGGTGCTCTTACAGAAGGCTGCAAGCAGAGAGGATATCCCAATTAGCTGGTCCAACCCACCATCTGTCAAATTACCTTTTCCTGTTGCCTCAGCACATGAGATACAAAGTTCTCTGCTGAACACGGGTAATACCACTCCAGGAACTGATGGAGTGCCAACAGAGGTGCTACGAAAGGCATGGCCACATATTAAGGTATCAGTGGAAAGGCTGTTCAGAGCCTGCCTTAGGGTTGGCTGGCACCCAACCTCCTTTCGAGATGCCACACTGGTTGTGCTGCCTAAGGTCAACAGAGATCCAACACTCCCGCGATCCTACAGGCTTATAGCCCTTCTCTCAACGTTGGGGAAGGGACTGGAACGCCTGGTAGCCCGTAGGCTGGCCTGGACAGCTATACAAGAGAAGATTGTCCACCCCCAGCATTTTGGAGCCCTCCCTGGGCGGGCTGCCTCAGACCTAGTGGCAGCGATGGTTCATGATATAGAGGAAGCCTGGGCCCATGGAAAAGTAGTCTCTCTTCTTACTCTGGACATCAAGGGTGCTTTTGATGCTGTACTCAGAGGAAGGATGCTGCGGAGATTGCAAGAACAAGGCTGGCCACCAAATTTAATTAGATGGGTGGAAAGCTTCATGACAGGACGCACAGGCAGGATCAGATTGGATGGACTCCTGGGAGAGCTCTTTGATATCCCAGCAGGGCTTCCACAAGGCTCGCCAGTCTCACCTATTCTATTCATGCTGTTTATTCAGCCTCTGTTCTTTCTAGGAACTATACAAAGAAGACGTGCACGCTTAGGCTACGCAGATGATCTAGGACTGCTTAGTGCTGGAACCACTCTTGAAGGGAATGTTGTTACTCTCCAGGAGGATTTCAAGTTGCTAAATGATTGGGCCAGCAAAGAAGGGCTGACATTTGATTTTGCCAAAACTGAGATAGCACACTTCACACGGCGCAGAACCCTTTCAAACCCCTCAATTGACCTTGAAACAACATCTGGCACTCACTCTATTACAGCAAAGGCAGTGAAAAGCTCCATAAGATATCTAGGAATCTGGCTAGATAGAAAACTGAGCTTCAAGAAACACGTGGAGACCATGGCGGCTAAGGCACGACAGGTGTCTAATGGCATACGAGCACTAAGCAACACAGCAAGAGGCGCCCCAGTACAACTGCTTAGACAATCCATTCAGGCCTGTGTGCTCTCTGTGCTCTGCTATGGAGCAGAGGCCTGGTGGCCTGGAGCCACACGAATGGAGAAGGGAAAGGAAATCTCCAATCGAATGGATTGCCTAGTCAGAAAGCTAGATCTAGCCCTTAGAGATGCTTTGCGAGGGGCACTGCCAGTCTACAAGACCACACCCATTTCAGCTCTACACCGTGAGCTAGGAATCATGCCAATGAAAGAGACACTAGACAACCGGCGTGCTGTATTTGCAGTAAGAATCAAAAAGCTTGACAAGAGGCACCCGCTAGTGAGACGCTCTAATAAAGTAGCTACCACCAAACCCTATACCACACGTCTGTCTAGAGCGTCCAGTCATGCTGGTGGGATAGAAGCATATGACCCTCTACTCACGCCCCCTTGGATGAGATTTCCCAGGAAAGAAGATCTGCAGATTGGGTATGAGGCAGGCCGCACAAAGGAACAGGCAGCACAAGACTTTAAGAGCTGGCTACAACAACGCAATCCCCTGGATCTGGTGGTCTTTACCAATGGTTCACAGATAGAGCACCCTCAGCGTGCGACTGGTGCAGGATGGGCTATATGCTGGGGTAGCAAACACCGTCTAATCTCCACAGGAAACCTGCCAATGGATAAAGCAGAGGTCTTTGACGCAGAGGCAATGGCAGCCCTGCAGGGCCTAAAGGAAGCCACCACCTTGCCTCAGGCGAAGTTTGCCAGCAACGTCTACATTTGCCTAGACAATTTGGAGGTAGCACGAGCCCTTGGATCCGTGCCAAACACCTCTAGCCAGCAGGTCTTCGCGCAGTTTCTGAAAGCCATAAAGGCCTGGCAGAGCAGGGATAGGCTCCCATTGGCCACCCAGAGCAGGGTGGTCATTAGATGGGTCCCAGGCCACGCAGGCGTGGCTGGTAATGAAAAGGCAGATCTTGAAGCCAAAGCAGCCGCAGCGCAGGCAGCAAGTGCAAGCATGGTACCTCAACCTGACAGCATAGGCACTCTAGCTTATATAAAGCGACACACTATGGAACAAACCACACGGGCCTTTGAGAACTACTGGGCCAAAAATCGGCCCAAACGCTATATGGAGCTGGAGATCCCACTAAAGAGAGCCTCAACAGAGGTAAAACTTTCACGCTTCACATTAGGAAAGCTCTATGCCACCCGATCAGGTCATGGAGACTTTGCAGCCTACCACAGCCACCTTAAGCATGAAGATGCAGAGTGCTACTGCCGGTGCGGACATAGCAAAACTCCAGAACATTTCTACTATTGCACTCTTGCAAGAAAAGCAGCAAAGCGGCGCCGGCCTATCTACAATCTCCGCGAGACACTGGCAACCTCGCGTGGGGCTCTAGAATTCAATAACTGGCTAAGAGAAACAGCCTTCTATCAGAATATCTGTCCAATGCGCCGTCGCGCACCTCCAGATCAGATCCCACAGACCATTCTCTCCTCTGTCTTGCCCCTGTCTTCCTCACCACCTCCTCCTCCTTCCTCTCTTTCCTCTCCTTTCTTTCCTTCCTTGCCTTCCTTCCTATCCGCCTCCCCTACCTCCCTCCCACAAACCTAAAACCTCTCAAAACCTCTGCTCTATGGCAACCGACCCATGGGCTCTGCCGGTGCAGCAATACGCAACCCATTTTTGCCTCATTTGTAAGATAGCTACTAGATAGGTAGTCGCCTACGGGCGTAGCTCTACCCGCCCTATAGTTCGACGCGGACTCTACTAGATCACGTGCCCTTAAGGCACGTGGACTAACCGGGCGTTAAATAAAAACACACACACACACACACTAGCTCATACATTTATAACTCAGAATGAAGTTCTAACAGCTGAGAAAGAAATAGCTAGAGCTCAGCAATTAATCAAGTTGTATAAAAAAGGGTGGAGATTTTGAACCAGGGGGTTAGAAAGGTGATGTGATTACGAAGGTGATAGACTAAGGTAACTAGTCAACTAACTGGTAGTTAATTAACTACCGGACAGTAGAAACCTTTGCGGCGGCAATGGATGCTCCAGCATGGGCGGCAGCAGAACCATGTGATAAATTTCAATCTTTTCCTAACCACACTTTTCAAATCGTGCGAACCCTCCAGTGCAGTTACTCATGACGAAAAGGAATATCTGTATGTATGCATACATCCTCCACAATCACCAACCCAATGTTGGTGATGCTAATACTCACACTCAATCATTCTCAGACATCACAAGTTGGCATTCTACGCCTTAAGATACTGACAGTCACAGTTGATTACTGTGTGGGACATGTATCTGCAATGCTAGTGATTCCCCATGGCGTGGAGCCAGCTGGCTTGTTGATTTTATCGGCCAAAGCCTGGCTCTGGAGCCAGCAATGATGCATGACCTGGCCCTCATTAACCAACCACGATGATACACGTACTAGCCGAAAATGATCCATCAGATGCGGAGAGTACGGGAACACCATAAGAGCCGCAGGTTATTTTATGGCAAAGGAATCGTCATCTGAATGGCTTTTCAAAGGTATCTGAGCCCGAGGGTTTGCGTAAAGGATTCTACGACGATTCCTGATCCCACGACATTTTCACAAGGCCGCAAAAACACCCAGTCTCTAGCTTCACCATAACTGCCATGGCAGATAGGCGCTCTATTTCGTCGGATGACTATAACGATGTGACTATACATGAAGCTATTTCGATGGACACAAAGACGTTCGCACAACTTTCCTCCTCCGCAAGTGCTGCTAAGGATGCAAGGATGCGTTCAGCTCTCGAGGCCCTGGATGCTGCGACAAAGGATGCGAAACGGAAGGCTGAGGAGTACAAAAGTAATAATGATGTTTTCACGCGGGAAGCAAATAATAAACAATTGCAAGAAGGTAGGAAAGAAGGAAGAAAGAAATAGATTGAGGTTTGCAAATAGAAAGTATGTTTTACATTTTTATGAAGTAGCGAATCCCATTAACCTTCAGGAGTGATTGAATGCCCTTCGAAGCTCTTCTAGATACGCGTCCCTGTCGATAATTTTTTGTACGGGAAAGTCAGATGCGTCTCGTGACCAATACTTATGCATCATGAGAAAGAAGTTGCTGTCCCTATAATGGGCTTCCGCAAAAATCGGTTGGATGTGCTTATAAAATATGGCATGCAGCCCAGTTGGGCTCTGGAGGGCGAGGGTATACCAGAAAGTGCCGGATTCCCAGCATTTATTCATCATAGATGAGCACTTGAAATCCTTGTCTGAGTCATGTTTGAGTATCCGCGCGTGAGAAATCTCTCTTTCCTCTTCTGCAAAAATTTGCATGAACTCCTGCCGAAGCGCATTGTAAGCCTCAGGGTCGATCACATCCACAGCTTGGCTGGTGAGCCAGTGAGGGGGCTGCACAAACTCAAGCGGCCATGAAGCAGCCCATTCCAGATCTATTATGTATTTAATTTTCCAATTCTTGTCAACCAGGATGTTACTCGCATGCATGTCAGTTAACTGAAAAATGAATGGGCCGCTGTTGAGTGTTTGATCGAAAAACTCCTGGGCCACAGCTCGCAGCGTTGTAAGTGCGGACATCTGCATTACGCAGTCAATGAAGTCATTGGCGGCATTTTGTTCGTGGCGTAGCCGGCTGTCGTGACACGATAGTAAGGCATTGACGTAAGAGTCAACAGTAGGGAATGTCTGACTTCGATTTATGCCAATGGGTATATTCTCATTCTCTAGGTCTTGTAGCTCGATGGTAAGCGGTCGGTTGATAAGTTGTAGAAAGCCATAGTCATCGACCACAAATGATCCTATCTTTGGGAGAGGAATGCGGCTTAAGGTGAGAATTATTCGGGATAGATCTCGGAAGAGATTATTTCGCAGGTATGTGTCACTGCAGAGCGCGTTCCAGGTATTTGAGAGCATCACACCATCCTCTTCTTTTATGTGTTCCACAATAACGTACGGGCCCATCTCGCTTGGATCAAAGTTCCGACGAGGAATGTAAGCAGACGGAATGGGAAGCCCTAGCAAGGAACGTAGCTTGCATCGAAGTTGATGAAACACACGGCGGAACGGTGACAAATGCTCTACTGCAGTAAACTGGTCATGTTAACTGAGATCAACTGGTCGCATCAAGCGTGTACCTACATGTCGGCCCATTGACAGACCAAAGCCGTAGAGGTGAGGAACAGGAACACTTGGACACTCCCTCCGAAGCCAGGCATATGTTCCTGCCTCACAGGAGACTTTCTCATCACTGTTTCCGGGACGTACGTATTCACCAACTCTGTAGGGAAGAGGAAATCGGACAAGGACACGATTTGCTGGTGTGGTCACAGGTACACATAGATTGAAGCTCCCATGCATCCATTCAGCCCTGGGAGCAGCAGTGCAGGATGCTAAATCCTTCAAGCCCAGATGATTGGCAACAAGAGCTTCAACCTGGTTGGAATTTTGTTGAATGAAGCCAAAGAACTTGTTCTGTTCCGGCCAGTATGTCAGCTTGTGGAGGACATTGATTTCTTTCTTTTCAGCTTTGGAATAGGTGATCTCTTCCCGGAGAAGACGACGGGTAGGAGACATAGCTCAATAGAATCAAAACAATATTCTGAACAGACGTCCATTACAGCCCTCTTCATCAGCTAGTCGTCAATGGGAAGTCAGGAGAAGCTCCCACTTGGCCACTACTTGCCATCACATCATTACTGCGCAGTGTTGCAAAGTTCCTGCCATGCTCTTTCGGCGCTAGTAAGCTTGGCTATCAGTGTGTGCTCAATATCAAGTAACCGTGCCACGCGCATTCACCATTAGTGAGTGCGCCCCACCGTAAAGAAAATATCACTATAATGAAAATCTCTTATATATTCATCACCAATCTTCAAAAATTAATAACCACCACCACCATGCCTAATAATATTAATTATTTGGAAGATCAGATTCAGATGGCATTAAACACCATAAAATCAAATCCAAATTTAAAAATCACAAATGTGGTATGAGAATTTAAAATTTTATATAGAACTCTATATAAATATATTAATGGAAAGAGATCAAGAAATATGAGAAATCCAATCAATTAAACATTGAGTGATAGTTAGGAGGAAGTGATCAAGAAGTGAATTCATCAATTGAATAAAAACTTTTACTCTTCTACAGTTGAACATATCAAAGCTGCTGCAAATCAAGTACTGAATCATTATCATATCAATTCTATCAATTCTCCTTCTACTATAAGTAAGATGTACTCTATTATAATTCTAGTTATAAAGCTTCTCATACTTTCTTTTGAAACTTAGTTCATTCATTCAAAATGTTTTCACAAAGTTATTGATTATAATAAAATAAAAAATTCATCTAGAATATTAATATATATATTTTAATTTACTTAATAATTGTCAAGGATAGATTGCTTGATTGATTATGAGGTGATTACTAGCTACACAGAAGTTATATACAGTGCGGATTACGTAAGAAGGTGGATAGGCCTGACACCCCCACTCACTGATATAACTGTATGTGAGATTACATACAAAAAATAGCCTGTAGCTAGGTATCAGTGCATAATTTGACTGGAAAACCCATATTGTTGAAAAATCAGTCATTTTCTTCATATAATCATTTTCACCTGCTTATCACATCTTCTAATATCTGCCATCATAGAGTGTATCTAGTCATCCCAAGCAGCTTGGTCAGCCTGTCTGCTGTGTTCTCAGTGGATGAGATGTAATTAATCAAGATCTCATTCTTATGGACAAGATCCTGAAGAGTATGGAAGCAGATCTCTATATGCTTAGAATGGCATGAAATAGCCTCACTTTTGACCAGTTCAATTGCTGATTTATTATCTGCTCAAATCATATATGCTAGCTTATTGATCAGTGATTCAATCAAGTCATCATTATCATAAAGATTATTGAGCTGAGATGGCATGAAGCTGGCATCCTCCAGCAATTCTCAGAAGCAGACAAGTTCATAGACAGCCTCTGAGGATGTGATATATTCAGCCTTGGTAGATGATTTTGAAACACCTGTCTGCTTGCTACTTTGCCAAGCAACAGAACTCCCTGTCATATAAATGACATATTCAGTGATGGAGTGGGAATCTGAATCATAGCCCACTCAATCAGTATTAGTGAACACAACAGGTTCTATATCTGTGTCTTTTCAGTAGGACACACCTATATCAGATGTGCCTTGTAGATATCTAAGAATTCACTTGAATGCTACTCAATTCTTTGAGGTAGAGTGAGAGCTGAATCTCTCTAGGAAGTCAGCAGCAAAGCTTATATCAGAATGTGTGTTGGCAGTGAGATATTGCAGAGAGTCAACCCTTAATTGATAGAAATGTAATGTAAATTCTGCTGTATAAGCAATCAGTTCTTCATTATCACTCATGAAATCAACATTCTCCTCCATAGGGGAGAATATTGAATGACAGTCATTCATTGAGAATTCCTCCAGCAGGTTCTTTATGAACAGTGACTGAGACAGTGATAAAGATTTAGCATTCTGATCAATCTTCATTCTCAAATACCAGTTTGATTCACTCACATCCTTGATCTCATAATTAGCAGTAATCTAGGCTTTTGTCCATTCAATATCTGATATATTTAGACTGTATAGGCAAACATCATCCACATAAATAATTATATAGATCTTGCAGATATCATTTATGAAAAAACCAGTATCATGAGAACTGACACAGAAGTCTGTTTTCAATAGCATTTTTCACAGCTCCTCATATCATAATAGTGCTGCTTGCTTCAGGTCATATAGTTTCTGCATCAATTTACATACCAGATTACTGTGTCCCTCACAGAACCTGGTGGGTTGATGTATATATACATGTTCATTAGTGGGAAGCTGGGCATTTAAGAATGCTGTAATCATGTTGATTTGCAGAACATGCCATTCTCAGAATACTGAGATTGTCATAAGTGCTCAGAAGGTGGAAGCTGATACAACTGATATGAATGTCTTTGAATAGTTGACATTCTTTTCTTGATAATTGTCATAGACTACTCAGTAAGTCTTATATTGATCAATTCTATCTGCATTATTAATCTTTTTGTCAAACACTCATTGACTATGTAGAATCATCATATCTGAGGTCCTTTCAACTAGCTGCCATGCACCAATCTGCTTGAGGTGATTAATCTTCTTAACACAGGCATGAAAGTAATATTTCTAATCTGCAGATGCCTGAGCCCAGGTGAGGTTCTTCAGAACTGGCAAGCTGACAATCTTAGAGTCTGCAGAGACATCAGTTGAATTGTCAATGAAATCTCTCACTGAGGCCTATCTCACTGAAGTAATATTCTCAGTGAGCATTGAAAAATCCTTCATCTCTAAAGTGGACCCTGAGAGGGCAGTAGTGTTCTGTATCAAAAATGTCAGAATTCATACAGTAATCTCATAGTCTATCCATCAATTATTTGTAGAGTGTAGAAATACTGAAGGGACAGATAGAAACTTCCTGTTCATCATGAAATTATCTGTTGATAAATCACATTGAGTGGAGGGGATTGCAACTGCAGCCACATGAGCAGCAGAAGATAGATTCTTGACATCTTGCTCAGACAAGACCAAAGAATTCATCAAATGAAGATCTTCTTGAAATATCATGTCTTTTGATATGTAAAGGTGATCATTAGAAGGATTGATCAATCTATAATTAATAAAATCATCATAGTCTGTAAATATAAGCTCCTGCAATCATGAGGCTATTTTCATATTCAGCTTGAGCACTATTTTTAAATAAGTCTTGCACTCTCATCAGTGAATTCTATGTGCAGAGGGCAGGGCTCTGAGCCAAGCTTCATATGAGGTAATTAACTTTGGATTCAGATTCTCTACATCATTATAGAGCTTGACTGATGTTGACATAAGATTAAGCATTTCAGTCATCATAATTACCACCTCACCCCACATCTGAGGAGAGGAGGAGGAATCTATTAATAACATTCAGGCTTTTTTGATAATCAGGTCAATTGAATGTTCAGATACATCATTTTGCTGCAGAGTGTGAGGTGAGGTTGATTCTCATTTAATATCCTCACTCATTATATAGATGGCTGTGATGTTTGAATTCAACTCATCATAGTCAGAGTGAATAATCACAACACTGTGATTGAGCAGATTCTTCATAAATTGATTGAAGATTCATATATATTTTAGAGCCTCATTGTGATGCTTCAATAAAAAGGTCCACTGCATTCATGTGACATTGTCAGTGATCATCATCATGAGCTTCTTACCTGCATAAAATGGTGTATCTTCTTCATTATCAAGCATTTCTCTACTTCTAAATAGGTCTATCTAGATCTTAAGATCTTTGTGGGTGGCACAGCATAATAGAGTGTTTTTATAACTTGCATATTTATGCTTGACTTTAACACATGTGATGCAGAATGAGAGCTTCTTTGAGCTGATGATGACAATTTCAAAACAGAGCTTCTGTGACATTTTAATTAGATTCTTCTCATCATTATGATCTAATTGTCAGTGTCACTCATCAATCAGTAGCTGCTTCAGCATAATGATGGGTAGTTGAGTTGATGAGAACAAAATGAAGATATCAGTATTCAGATCCTTCAGGTTAATTAGCTGCTCTATATCATCACAGTTGAAAAGACTCAGTGATGCAGCATTCAGATTATAATCTGTTGATATCACTCTGAGCTTTGAGACTGTCAAGTATGTCAGTGGTTCAAGCTCCAGATCATTCATAATACACTCAGACATAGAAAGAGTGTCAGATAGAACATATATATTATTGAGATTCAAATTCACATAGAAGATGTCATTTCTGGTAGGTGCTATTATCTCAAAGTAATTTCCAGCATTCACCTGCAGATCATGATGAATATAGCCCTGACACTTCAATAGACCAGCAGATATGAGATTGGCAGATAAGCCTAGCATCAAATAGATGTGATTGAATTTGATTAATCTTTTCTTGACTGAAATGAAGGTGATCTCAATCCCTTGAATCTTCAAAGTAGCCTTATTGGCCACTTGAATTGTAGGGCTGCTAATCTCTGTTATTTGAGAAAATTGTGATTGATCATCTACAATATGACATCTAGCCCCACTATCTCATATGATGAGTGGGTTGGTAATTGATTCAGCAGAGTATATAGACACCCCAATGACCTGCACTAGATTTGTCATTTGAAATATCTCAGAGCTGCTATTTGCAGTTGATAGAGTCTTTTTGTCCTCACTACTCTTCTTATTATTATATTTCTCTATTCTTTCTGTGTTGGCAGTTCTTCATTCTTCAGAGATACTATCTGGATTGACTGCCTAGCAGAGCCCACCATGATGATGCTCACATTCCAGGCAGATTGAGAGGTCAGAATTTGAATGTCCACCCATTCAATAGTCTCCACATCCCCTGGGTCAGCCCTCATGGGCCAAATTATTTTAGATATTACTGCTATCATTGGAACCCACAGCTGTGTTTTCAGTCTGAGTTATGTTCACTGAAGAATTAGTCACCTGAATAGCCTTCTTAACCTCTCTGAGGGGGTTCAATCAAGAGCATATTTCCTCCATGATTGAATGAATGTCCAACATGA